GGCGTGCGGGGGGGGGGGGAGCCCATTGCCTGGCTGGATTCCCCCCTGGCTGAGTCCTTCCCCCGCTTAGTGTCACCCTCCGGGTGTGTCTGGGGACGCAGATAAGTGTTTCTGTAGCACAGACACTGACATGTGTTGGGCCTGCTGGCTGAGTCCTTCCCCCGCTTAGTGTCACCCTCCGGGTGTGTCTGGGGACGCAGATAAGTGTTTCTGTAGCACAGACACTGACATGTGTTGGGCCTGCCGTCTAGATAAGTGTGTGTGCGTGTGTGTGCGTGTGTGAGTCTAGCACAGCCAGGTATGGGAGTGTAACACACAGTGGCTGTATGGAGACATGTCAGGAGGAGGTGGGGGTGGAGAGTTTATCCTGCATTTCTGAGGTATGGGCAGATCTGGGGGTGAGCCTGGAGTGTGGATGCTGCGGTTCTGTCCTGCCTGTGTGCAGCAGACTTAGGCGTGTGCCTGGGATCCTGGTGGCTGGGTGCAGGACCGTGTATTCTGGCACATGTGTCTGCAAAACACAAGCACAGGTTAGTGGTTGAGCGTGGTCTCTACGCTGCCTGTGGTGTACTGGTGGGTCGGCACACACGCGTCCGGTGAAGCAATGCATGCGTGGCCTGCGGACAAGTCGTGCCGCCGCACGTGTGTCTAAGGTCTCTGTTGCGGACGCGTATCTCTGCGTGGACAGGTGTGGTTCTCTAGGTTGTATCTCTCTGCTGGGGGGTGGAATCTCCTGTCTAGCAGCTGCACAGAGCAAACCTCTCCCAGCAGGGGGGAAGAATGGAAGTGAGATGCTGATATTGGGACCTGTTGTTTTGGGGAGCAGTGTGGGGGAGGGGGATAGATGATTTTCCATCTTCCTCCGGCCCCCTGGCAGCTTGTGTTGAGAGGCAGGGGGAGGTCACATCAGAGGCCCAATGCGCTGCTCTTGCATGCACAGGCCTAAATCTGGAGGAACTCCCCCGACTGCACAGCAACTGGGGATTTACACTGGGGTGAGGCTAGAATTTGCTCCTGAATGTAAAACAAGCACCACACTGGGGGAGCGGGAGAATCCATTCATGTTGGGATCCCGGGGGGGGGGGGGGGGGGAGTTATTCAGCAGAGAAATATTTCCATATAAGCCCCCTGTTTCATGCTGAATGGCACAGGCCTCGCGCTCCCTCCACCCTTTCCTCTGCTTTCCCAGCCTTGCAGAAGGAGGGAAGCAGCTGGAGAGGAATTCCTCGGGGTCTAGGCTAGTGGAACATTCCTCCGTTGGGAGGTTCTGCCCTGACTTGCAGGAACCACATTAGTTGGCTGTGCGTTGAGTTCCGCCTCCTGGCTGGGAGCGTGTCCGCAGAATTCCCGCCGGCGGGAGTGAATGTGGTGCCGCGACCGTGCGTATGGGCATCACACCTGCAATATGCTAGCCCCGTGTTCCAGCATCTGAGCTGAGCCTGAGTGGGTGGGGGCAGGGAATCCGGCAGTCATCAGACTGCAGGATCAGGGCCTTGGTGGGCATTGGCTGATGTGTGCTGTGTGGGGTTTGAGGTGCAGTAGGTGTGTACCAATGGGGAGTGAATGTGGTGCCGCGACCGTGCGTATGGGCATCACACCTGCAATATGCTAGCCCCGTGTTCCAGCATCTGAGCTGAGCCTGAGTGGGTGGGGGCAGGGAATCCGGCAGTCATCAGACTGCAGGATCAGGGCCTTGGTGGGCATTGGCTGATGTGTGCTGTGTGGGGTTTGAGGTGCAGTAGGTGTGTACCAATGGGTGTGCATTGGTCAGAGTGTGGCTTCCATAGATGTATGGTACAGCTTACATGTGGTTGTTGTCAGTCTGGGTGTATGTGTGGTTCTGGGTGCATTGTGTAGATGTGCGGTGTGTGGTTTTTTTGGTGTGGGGTATATGTTGGGTGGGTGAACTGTGTGTGGTTTTCAGTGAGTGGAGCCCAGCATGGAGATGGGTTTGTGTGGGTTTCGATGAGGGCATGTGTGCTGTGTGTGTGTTTTGATGACCGATGCGTGTTGTGTGGGCATACTGCATGTGGTTTCTAATGACTGTGGTGCGTTGTGTGGGTGTTTGTGGGTGGTTTTCGGTGAGTGTATTGTGTGGGTGGGTTTTGTGGGTTTCTTATGAGTGTATGTGTGTTGTATGAGTATGCTTTGTGCATTTTACAGTGTTGTGTGAGTGTGCATTGTGCCATTTTTGGTGAGAGGCTGTGTGTTGTGGTTTGTGGGGTTTGGAGTGAGGGTCGCATATTTTGTGGTGTGTTGTATACTTTCTAGCAAGAGGGTTGTAAGGTGTATGTGTAAAGCATGTGTTGTGTGGTGAGGTGATGGATGGTGTTTGTTTTTCAGTGAAGAGTGTGTATTGCATGCATTGTGTGATATTTCTGGGGAGGAGCGTGTATTGTTTGATTGTGCCGTGTGTGTTTTTCTGGACAGGTATGTGGGAGGGGTGTGCATAGCACATTTGTGCTGTGTGTTTTTCTGGGGCGGGGTGCGTAGTGTGCAATAGTGTGTTGTGTTACTTTCACAATGTAGGCCGGGATGCTTTTTTTTGCATGCAGTTTCTTACTGACTCCTTATCCAACCCGCTTCTGCCCTAGGCTGTTGCTGACCGGCGTGGATGGACCGAGGGCGGCCGACCCCGCCTCGACCGGCACCACGGTGCGCAGGACATGCCAGGCACGTGGGTTCTGACGGCCGGCGAGGGCAGGCTGAGGAGACCGGCTGTGACCAGGCCAGACCTGCTCATTTTTAAAAAATCCTTTTGATTTTTATTTGTTAAACTGAAAAATAAACTGCACTGGGCGCTCGGTGCCGCTGCCATGAACGGGCTGTCGGTGAGCGAGCTGTGCTGCCTCTTTTGCTGCCCGCCCTGCCCCAGCCGGATAGCAGCCAAGCTGGCCTTTCTGCCCCCGGAGCCTACGTATGCCATCGTCCCCGAGCCGGAGCCCGCAGGCAGCGCCAGCACCACTTCCCTGAGAGGAGGCGCGGCAGGGCGATGGAAGCTGCATTTGACGGACCGGGCGGATTTCCAGTACGCCCAGCGGGAGCTGGACACCATCGAGGTGTTTCTAACCAAGAGCGGCCGTGGGAACCGGGTCGGCTGCATGTATATCCGCTGTGTGCCCGGTGCCAGGTGAGTGGCACGCCGCGCATGGGTCTGGGCACCAAGCTCTCCATGCAGGGCACGACCGTGGGTGTGGACACCGCTGGGGGCAGGGTTCCCAACTCAGGGCCTGGGCGCATCTGCAAATCCTCTGCCCATGACACCTTGGTAAGCCGGTGCCGGGGGGGGGTAGGGGGCAGGGTGCCATCCTGCCCTTCTGCAGCTCCGACATGCACGACTTCCTGGCCTGCAGCAACTCGGCCAAATCTGGCACCTTCCCCAGGGAAATGCCCCAGTCTCAGGGATTTGGAGAGGCCTGGGCACACGCTGTTTTGCTCATAATTTGAATTGGGGATGGAATTAAATAAAAAGATGGGAAGGAGGGAGGTAATGAAGCCATAGGACGTGGTGTCCAGACTCTTGGGGTCCATTCCCAGCCCAGCTGCTGACCTTGGGCTAATCGCCCTACCCCGTGACTCAGTTTTCCCCATCTGTAGAATGGGAGAAATAATGCTAGGCCAGAGCATGGGTTGTGATGCTCAAAGGATGTTGCTGGCACAGGACAGAGGATTACTGAGTAATGATGGTGAGGCTGAGTACAGGCGCCGGGCTGGGCTGGGCTGGAGTTGCCCGGGCAGCCTGTGGGTGCCTGCCCCTTTGCTGGACACATTCACAACTCGCAGGGGAGCCCCAGCCGCCGTCCCAGGTCCCGAGGCCTGGTCCACCTTTGATGGGCTGGTATTCCCTCATGGGAGTGCAGGGACTTGGACTCCGGCTTGCTGGCACGTTGGTGCAGTTGGCCAAGCTGGGAGCAGGGGAAGGCAGAGAGAGCTGCAGCTTTATTCATGCACTGTGGAGCAGCCCTGCCGCCTCCTCTCTCTGTCCCCACCCCCACCCACCTTCAGCCCTGCTCCCTCCCCCGCTTAGTGAGCTGGACTTGTTAGTCTTGTTCGCTGAGTCTGGGCGTACCAGGCCCTGACTCGCACCTGGAACCCAGCCACTCCCTGGAGCTAGGAGTGCCAGTGACACCCCCTCACCCCAC